TATTGTGTTAGCTAGCTAATAGAGAGAAGTCTCCTCTCTTATCTCCATGCTTGGTCTACGTACTATTTATACGTATAGAAATGACTCGACATGCTAGCTAGCTAGTAAGAAAATGAAGGAAACCATTAAGTACAGAAGATCATCATGAACATATACACAGAGAGAAGTGATCGACCTCTCCTTCTCCGATAGATTGGTCGAACAACAAGTTTTCGTATATCTATCCGACGCTACTGGCTGCATATATATATACAATATAAGATCTTTTACAAAATCCCCTAACATCTGTACTCAACTTCCACATGGTATTCTCCGTGTTTGTCGATAACATGGTCAAGAAAGAATCCCGCCAATTCCTCTTGAATTGCTCGTATGCGATCTTGTGGTACGAGTTCATCCCGCGTTTGAAACATCTAATTTGAAGAAGGGAGTCAATACATATATATGAATGAAACTCAACACAAATGATGGTAATAAAATAAAATTATGAATATTATTGCTTACGCACTTCATATTGTTGTTTAGAGTAGCCCCACTCACAGGTCGTGTGGTGGATGAACTCGTAAATGTAGTATCCACAGAAATCGTTCCCGAGTTCCTGCCACAACCACTTTACAAGAAATAGAGGTCAATCAAACTGATAAGCAAGCATGCTAAATGGTATTGATAAAACTAGGTAGAATCAATGGGAGATGCGCGGAACTAGCTAGTAGCTACTACTTACTTTCAGGTGGTTAAATCGTAGCTGCACCGGCAGTCCCGGAGCTTGTGGGGTGAACTTTTTCCAAACCCTGCCAGACAAAGAAAACAATTACTTGATATCAGGAAATGAACAAAGTTGCCAATATGGTGTGATAATGATCGATTGAACTTACTTCTCGAGCATTTTAGTCATGGTCGCATACTCCTCCAGATTTTTTCATTTCGAGTCTATGACGGTTACTAGTCCCTGCTCAAGTTTAATCTCTAGCAGAATAAAGTGGAAGTTGCGCACGCATGCATAACTCATCAATTACATTATTATAACCTCGAGTAATAAGGGAAATGAATATGCACAAGACAGTAACACTCACTTGTATTCCTAAGGAAAGAGTATTGTATCTTTGTTTTGATTTCGAAGTAACGATTGCATCAAGTTGGCCTCGATATCTTTGGGATCATGTTTAACATTTCATTCATCCATGAGATTTGTGTTAATGAACCCAATATCACCTATTTATCTTTTCTTCAATTCGGCGATCTTCAATCTGCATAATATAGTGAGGATAATTATATATACATGCAATGAAAGAGCTGAACTCTATATAGAGACTTAATTTATTACAGAGAAGTAGTACCTACAGACAGTAGCAAGAGTGATGATTGTTTTATCGAGGGCCTTTTGATTGAAAAACTAGAAGAACTCCTCATATGGAACAGATAACAGATCAATTCCAACGAGGTCGTGCTCCTCTTTAACTCTCAGCGACAAAGTATCCGTCCCAGACTTCCTGCAGATGTCCATGTACCAATCATGGAATCTTCGCATCATCGTTGTTAGAGGAGTACCAGGTTTGACGAGAGGCTTCCCGTGCCGGAATCTTAATGTGTCCACCTCCATTGTTTCAAAAAGTGCATCGTCGTCGGGCATGTAATCTCCAGGATTGGTACCGGGCAGCATCCCCGGAAGATTAGCGATGATATCGCTAGACACACTGAGTGGGGGGCATGATTGCTTCGCTTGTTCGCCGAGCTGGGGATTTTTTTCCCTTTTCTTCGTTCTGCTAGCCTTTGATCAGTGCAAGTACTTCCCGACCGCTCCACTTCCTTATATGTCCTTTCAATGATGCGGTCATAGTTGGATTGCGGCGGAGGCGGTGGTGGTCGCTGCAGGGCATCCAAAGTGCGCTTCGCTTTCACCGGATCTATCTTCTCCGCTAGAGGTGGATGTTTCTTAGCATTTACCGATTCAAAGAAGTCATTCACTCGGCCTTCATAGATCTTCTGGTTTTCCTCCTAGCTCCTCTTGTATGGTAACTTCTCTAGAGGCTTGAGACACGATGGACCAAATCTGTATTGCCTCCCGCGTCTGGCTGTACTACTAGACGCTGGAGCAGCCGGCGCGGCTACGACTGTCTTCTTTCATTGCTTAAGAGGCGGAGCAGCCGGAGGCGGACTGCTACGACGCGCCGGAACAGCCGGAGCGGCGGCGTCTGTGTTCCACCATCGCTTACCAGGCGGCGAAGGAGGAGACGAGCTGCTCGGACGTGCCGGAGCAGGTGGAGAAGGAGGAGGAGTACTGTCGCCCTAACGTGCCAGAGTAGGAGGCGGAGTGCCTTGATCACTCGCGGGAGGAGGAGGAGGAGGCGGACTGCCCAACTGACTCACAGGAGCCGTGAAGTTCAGAAGGTTGATGTGCTCCTTCCGCCATAGACATGGAGTCTTCATAGCAAGACCCAGCTGAGTCTCCCCATCACCTGTAGGGTGCTCAAGATGGAGCTCCTCAAATCCCTCTGTTATTTCGTCCACCATCACAACAGCATAGCCTTGTGGAATCGGACAGCAGTGAAAAGTTGCTTCGGGTGAAGGACGAAACACAGAGCCGACAGCTGCCTTGACTTTGACACTAGTAGAAAAAGGACCTAATATGAGACACATTAGTGCCGGTTGGGTTTTGAGCCGGCACTAATGTGTCCATTAGTGCCGGTTCCAACGGCTAGCCGTCCGTTCTCATTAGTACCGGTTCGTGGCGAACCTATAGTACCGGTTCGTGCCACGAACCGGTACTAAAGAGGGTGGTGGCAGGGTGTTGTCAGTCTGGGGCCCGTCCAGCACCTTTAGTACCGGTTCATGGCACGAACCGGTATTAAAGGTCGACGTACATAAACCCTTCGTCCCCCCGAGCCATTCTGTTCTTCCCCTTTCCCCTCACTTCCTCTGTTCTTCCCACTCTCTCCTCGAGCTCCTCACAAATTTTGCCCAAAATTTGTCAAGATTTGAAGGCCCCCATCCATTCAAATGATCACAAAGGTTAGCAACTTTGTCCTTTCAACTCTCATTGCTAGATTAGCTCTTGCAATGCTTTGTATAGTGATTAATTTGGGAGGAATAATTATATTTGCTAGTATTTGATTTATATGCAATTTGAGCACAAAAATAACACTTAATTTGCATATGTAGGTGTGGTTTACTTAGTGCCTTCTAAATCTCCGTCGTAACCACCGTCGATCACCCGCACCGTCCCGTCGCCGGCACCACCTTCTGGTGAGGCTCTTGTTCATGAATGTTTTACATTACCAAATTGATGTTTATGTGATTTGGATATATAGTTACTCGTATAATTATCTTACCCGTACGTTGTTTGTTATACATAGTGCCATGGTTTTGATATCTGTCCCCGTCAGCCCTCGTCCTTGTTATGATTCGGATGTGGTATATTCTCTTTTAAAACTAGTTGTTGCATTTCGTGTTTATGACAAATTATGCCCATCAAGTTGACATAGATATTTTTATCTAGGAGGTATGTGAACCGGAAATTCCAACCGACCCTATTGTCGAGAGGTTAAA